GAGGGGCGAAGACTCGCCGAGGGACGCCGGGTTTAAACGCACGTCTCTGCAGAACTGGACTAAAAACTGTTTGAAGGAGGTGAACCAGGAGGAGAACCTGACCCTCTCTCCAAACCGTCTCCTGAGTTTCTCAGACATGAAGGATCTGCTGAAGCTTCACACACCTGATCATCTTCAGATCTGCTCGTCTCACTAACCCTCAGAAGAAATCTCACAAACATGTTTCTGGTACTTTTACTAAGTCTTTGTCTAAAGGCCGTCAGACGGCGGCGTTTATGCTGAGCCAGCAGTGGCGTGCATTTGCAGAGCTCTGTTTTTTCAGCTGGTGAGGGTCAGATGGGCGGTCCTCTAATGAAATGGCATCATGCTAATTGTGGTAACCATGTGACTGGTGTAACGGTGCTTTAAGAGTTATGTGGTGGGTAATAAAGTGACAGTGCGTTTAGCTCCAAATCATGCAGAAGACACATGCTGAGCTGTCTGAGGCTGCAGAGAGGACCGCTCAATTAGAGAGCAGATTTAAGATGAGAGCCTGATTCCCGGCCCAATTAATTAGCAGCAAAGAGAGGAGAGGCAGCCGGAGAGCCGAGAGGAGATTTAGGCAGGAAGTGGCCTCCAGAGACTCGCTCTCCTGCTCCTACCTCCTCACCCTCGCTCCGCTCCATGCTCTGTTTCCCTCCCTCTCCAGCTCGCTCCTCGATCCTCACACTCAGCTCCTCTGACTGCTGCTTCACCTCCTGCTCTGCCTCTGTCATTAGCACAGGTCCAAACACCAGGATAATGGTCTGCTTTCCATAGAACAACCCTTCTTCCTCCAATTTGTGGGTTTTATAAAGTCAGAGTAAATGTTCTCATTAGGAAAGACTGAGGCGAGGAGCAGCGTCTCCTTAAAGGGACAGAGGTTTAGAGAGAGAGAGCCTCATAACCTCCGTGACCCCAGAGTGGGTCTGATCCCAAACATGTGAGAAAGCTCCTTCACATGGAAGCTGAGAAGATTATCATCGTTACAACAGCCTATCTACTTTAAATGATCACATGTCCTATCAGGTTCTATCTAGATATGTTCTATCATATCATTGATCATTTATCATATTCTATCATATCATCTCATATTAGTATCACATCAAATCATACTTCATATCATTTCATATCATACTTTATCATTTCATATATAATATGTATCATATCATATGTCGTATAATTTATCGTATCATATTCTATCATAAAATCTCATATGTCATCATACTTTATCATATATATCACATCATTTATCATGTTATATTCTATCATACAATATCATATATCATACCATACCATATCATATCATACTTTATCATATTATATAATCTCATTTATCATATCATACTTTATCATATATCATAATATATTAAATTCTAATCTATCATCTGTCGAATCCTATTGTATCTCATATCTTTATCATATCCCATTGTATCCTATCATCTCCCTATCCTATCTTATTACTGTGTCTCTCTGACGTCCTTGTGCAGCCTGTACAGCCTGTACAGTCATGTACAGTCATGTACAGTCATCGCAGGTGTTTGCTGGTCAAAGCTGTTGCTGTTGTCAGGCTGAACCTGCGTTTGCTTTATTGTCCGTCTTTAAATGGTTTAAATTACCTCTACAGTCATATCAATAAGAGCTCCCTCTGTACAGGAACAACGGCCCGCTGCAGCACAATGAATGGTTCCTCTACAGTCATTAATGTCAATGTTGTTTGAGTTAATGCGAGTTTCATCAAACCCAGCCATAGATTAGCTATTATAATGCTTTTCAGATTAGTTTATGATGATGCCAGAGCGTCCCTCAGGGCTGGAAACTCAACAATACGCAGCAAACCGATTATTAGAGCCTAAAAAAATACCGATCCACAGCATACATATTTATTAAAGAGCACGGCCGATACCTGCCAAGCTTTGTCAATAAGTAGGAGCTGTGAATATATTGTGTCTAGACCTGTGACCCCGCCTGCCTGAATGTCAGATAACTTACACTATTACTGCCACAGGCCGGCGGCCATCTATCACAGCAGCGCCAAAAGTCAATATCACAGGCTTGTCCCCAAACTCTCCAAATTACCCTGGTTAGAGGGAGGGAAAGCAAAACCAATCAATGTGTGGTCCTCTCTGTGCTGTATGAATTTTTGATGCCTCTGCTGCTTAAGCTGCAGACTATCAATTACCAGATAAACAGGGTCTAGGTGATTGTTGTCATGGTGCACAGGGCTGCCATCCAATTAGATCCCGCGCCGACTAATGTGTTAATATCTTACATAATTGGTGTTGGGGGCTATTTTTCCTCCCGCTCTCAAATGCCACGCTGATCCTTATAGAGACTAATATCAGACCATTAGAGCGATCTGATCAGGCCAGAGTAATAGAGATGAAATATAAAGAAAAGGACAGTATAACTCAAAAAGCCATTCCACTGTGAGACAGACGATCTCCTGCTGCATGTTTCCTCATCATCACCTTTTTTAGGCCCCTCTCTCACCAAAAACTTCATCAATAACATGAACATTATGTTCCTGCTGCAGATCACCGGATTGTTTCCAGGGCGTACATTTTTATCCGTGAAAAGACTCGCAAATAAAACACCAGCAGCAGCAGCAGCAGCGGCTCTGTTGTCAGCTTCTTAAGGCAGCGAGGCTGGGAGATAAAACCTAAAGGGAGCAGAAAAAAGACGAGATTTAGGACCAAAACAAGCTACGAGAAAGAGGAGAGCGAAGAAACAAAAGAGCCGAGAGTATTTGTAAAAGAAGAGGCTAAGAGAGAGAGAGAGAGGAGGAGAGAGGAGGAGAGCGAAGGGAGCGAGGGATGAGACGGCTGCCTGGAAAGACGATTAGTATTCATGCGGCGTGGCGCTCCAGAGAGGATTAATGGACTCTGATGCCTAATATCCTGGAGAACAATTAATTTGCCCACAGTTTTGTCATGGTTGAAAGTCAAATGCTGGAACAGATCGATGCGCACAGCCGCCAGTGAAATCGCGGCAGCCCCTTCTGCCGGGCGCAGAATTTTAATTTCATCATCATCATTTTCCCCGGCTGCCACCCTCCACGAAGCTGTCCCTGACATGGCTGAGAGGGCCGCCACATCCCGACAGGCACGCCGCTGCGCGCGCACACACACACACACACACGCCCATGAAAAGCCTATAGCAGACACACAAACAGGAGCAGCACGTATGCAAACATAAAAACACTGACACACAAACAGAGACAGAATAAAAACCTGCTCTCACACACGGATCTGATCCCCAACACTCCGGAACCAACCAGGATCCAGACCGTGTGGGATCAGCTGACAAAAACCCGGTCCTCTTAGTCCACGTTCACTCTGCAGGTTCTGATGCACAATTCTGAGTTTTTGTTCAATCCGATCTTTTTGTGCGGTCGCTCACATCACAGTGACCCGCATGAACACAAATATCTTTCCGCTCCTGTTTGTGTCGTTGAACAATGGTGACGTTTGTCTCATATTGATGACGTAAAGGTCGGATAAACACGACCTGAGCGTCACACTGCAGTCACATCAGATACATATCTGATTTATATCCACATACAGAAGAGGGTCGGATCAGAACCAATCAGAACTGACCTGCAGTCTGAACGTGGACTCAGATACTGAACCACAGCTGACAGTTTCACTGTGATCGTCCACACAGCAGGACGACGACTTCGAGTCTCAACAGACAGAAAATCTGAATCAACTCGTGTTTCTGATGGAAATCAAAACGTCATAAACAGAAAAAAACACCTTAAAGAAAAAACACAAGTGTGCGTTAACCCCCTCAGAGGCGTGACGGACGGGGTCCGCTCTGTTAACCTGACGTGGTCGGTCATGTGACTTCTCCTAAAAAGACGAGAAAAGGAGAAAACGATCGGTCCTGGATGATCAGACTGAAACAGATCTGTAGCTCCTCACCAGGAGCGTCTCTATGCTAATAACATCAATAACACTATCACATGTCGACAACACCACGGGCAAAACACAGCGCCGATCGCCACGCACCGCCGCTCCATCGTCAGAGGCGGTAAATATTTCATCAGGGATGCAGATGTGTCAATTAAAGATACGTGGAGACACAGCCAGATCCCCGTCTGACTCCCCGCTTTATTTGTCTTTTAGCTGCTCTGCCTTCGCCCAAGGAGATTCTCATTAGCACATTAATGCAACACAAATGAGAGGGACACAGGAGACAGGCGAGCGGGCGGGCGAGCGAGCGGGCGGGCGGGCGAGCCGGCGGGCGGGCGGGCGGCCACGTGGGAAAAAATGTGCTCTTTGGAGGATGAGAGTCACTTCTGCAGGCTGGAGCTCAGAGACACTTCAGTGTGTCTCAGTCAGACAGACGGACAAATATAAGACGGTTTACAGGACGTCTGATGATCCCAGAGACACTCAAAGGTCAAAGGTCGACCCTAAAAACCGGTTTCATGATCTCATTAAAACCTCCTCCTGTTTCACCCACGGCCTCCTCGCTCTGCTCCACGCCGTATCATCCTCCTGCTTTTTGTCATAGTTACCCTCAGCGGGGAGGAAAAACGCCGAGACACGAGTCGATGAATTATTAAAGGGCCGGCGCTAATTTATTTAACGAATTAAGAGGAGTCCGGTGGGGGGTCTCTCAATAATGGAGCAACGTTAGGAGTGTTTTAATAAGGACGGCACACACTGACGGGGTAATTACAGCTCAGCTCTGACCCAGGAGAGAGGAGGAGGAGAGAGGAGGAGAGAGGAGAGGAGGAGAGGAGGAGAGAGAGGAGAGAGGACGAGGTGAGAGGAGCACTGTTAGGAGTGTTTTAATAAGGACGGCACACACTGACGGGGTAATTACAGCTCAGCTCTGACCCAGGAGAGAGGAGGAGGAGAGAGGAGGAGAGAGGAGAGGAGGAGAGAGGAGGAGAGAGGAGAGGAGAGAGGAGGAGAGAGGAGGAGGAGAGAGGAGAGAGGAGGAGAGAGGAGAGGAGGAGAGGAGAGGAGGAGAGAGGAGAGAGGAGAGAGGAGAGAGGACGAGGTGAGAGGAGCACTGTTAGGAGTGTTTTAATAAGGACGGCACACACTGACGGGGTAATTACAGCTCAGCTCTAACCCAGGAGAGAGGAGGAGAGAGGAGGAGAGGAGGAGAGAGGAGAGGAGGAGAGAGGAGAGAGGAGAGAGGAGAGAGGACGAGGTGAGAGGAGCACTGTTAGGAGTGTTTTAATAAGGACGGCACACACTGACGGGGTAATTACAGCTCAGCTCTAACCCAGGAGAGAGGAGGAGGAGAGGAGGAGAGAGGAGAGGAGAGAGGAGAGGGAGGAGGAGAGAGGAGAGAGGAGAGAGGAGGAGAGGAGGAGAGAGGAGAGAGGAGCACTGTTAGGAGTGTTTTAATAAGGACGGCACACACTGACGGGGTAATTACAGCTCAGCTCTAACCCAGGAGAGAGGAGGAGGAGAGGAGGAGGAGAGAGGAGAGAGGACGAGGAGAGAGGAGGAGAGAGGAGAGAGGAGAGAGGAGCACTGTTAGGAGTGTTTTAATTAGGCAGGCACACACTGACGGGGTAATTACAGCTCAGCTCTGACCCAGGAGAGAGGAGGAGGAGAGGAGGAGAGAGGAGGAGAGGAGGAGAGGAGGAGAGAGGAGAGAGGACGAGGAGAGAGGAGCACTGTTAGGAGTGTTTTAATAAGGACGGCACACACTGACGGGGTAATTACAGCTCAGCTCTAACCCAGGAGAGAGGAGGAGGAGAGGAGGAGAGAGGAGAGGAGAGGAGGAGAGAGGAGGAGGAGAGAGGAGAGAGGAGCAGCACTGTTAGGAGTGTTTTAATAAGGACGGCACACACTGACGGGGTAATTACAGCTCAGCTCTGCTGCTCTACTCTGAGAGGAGCAGGAGGAGCAGGAGAGGAGGAGGAGCAGGAAAGAGGAGGAGGAGCAGCAGGAGGAGGAGCAGCAGGGGGAAGAGAGAGGAGGAGCAGAGGGAGGAGCAAGAGAGAGGAGGAGAGAGGAGGAGGAGGAGAGAAGGAGGAGGGGAGAGGAGGAGAGAGGAGGAAGAAAGAGGAGGAAGAAAGAGGATGAGAGAGGAGGAGGAGAGATGAGGAGGAGGAGAAGGTGAAAGAGTTGACCTCAGAGTTGGTCAGTCTGAACAGAATCTTCTCCCTCAGTCTGAGTTTCTCTCTCCGTGTTCATGAACGTCTTCAGAAGAACCAAACTGTCTGATTTTAAACTCTGATTTTAATCCAAACTAAAGTTCAGTCTGATGATGTTTGATCGTCTCTTTGGTCAGAGACTCTGAGAGGAGCTGCTGCAGGTTCAGTTTTCGGTGCAGCAAGTGCGTCTTTAGACTCAGACAGAGTTTAACGAGTTTCATCTTCAGGTGGAGGAGGAGGTGGAGGAGGAGGTGGTTGGTGTTTCTGTAGTTTTGGTTTTTGATCATTGTCGGATTTTCTGAATCTAAAGAATCTCCAGAAAACTGATGTCTCGACTCGCGCCCTTTTTCAGAACGAGTTCCTCCTCCTCCTCTTCCTCGTGTCGGGTGGGTCGGGCTGCCTCTCTCTCTCTCGCCTCAACGGTGAGACGGGTCCTTCAACTCCGAGGAGGTCTCCACAAAACAGGAGAGGAGGAGAAAGAGGAGGAGAATAATCCCTCCTCAGGCTCGGTAATGAATCCTTTAGAAACCACTAAAGCTCACAGTCCTGGTCCAGCTCCTGTCTCACCGTCCAGCTGACAGTGAGACGGTCTGGGGGGGGTCCGGGGGTCCGGGCCTGTAATGGGACCGGATCCCGATCAATAGCGCCGCCCCTCAGGCCGTGGTGGGCGTAATGAGTTGAGCTTTCTCAATAATGAAGATATTGTCGTTGTGCTGACTGCAGGGTCAGCCAATCATTAACCTCGTGTTAAATACGCCTTTGTTTTAATTGCTTTAAGTCCTCCACACACACACACACACACACACACACACACACACACACACAGAGGGCTGGAAATTAAAGGGACAGTACGCCTGTTTCCTGAGCGAGGGAGCAGCAGCCCTGAGGCCTTTCTGTCCGAGCAGCAGAGGACGCGGTTTTTACCGTCTCTATTTTATGCTTCCTCTGCGCCGTGGCGTTACTTCCTGTCCTCTTTCAAAATAAAGGTACACTTCAGTAGCTGCCTGCCCCATGAAAAGGCCGGCCCGCCTCACAGCGGCGTCCGGTGATTTCAGGCGCTGTTTTAAAGCCGGTTTAAGCTCTTCACATCGTCCATCAAAATTCTGGGCGGCGTTGGCGAAGGAGGCGAGCTCATCTCCTCTGTCACACGGGCTCAGCCCACTCAGACGCTAATATTCCCACCTCTCTCTCCCCCCCAGCCCTGCAATCACTCCCAGCCATCCCTGCCCCAGCTGGGTGATGAGAAACAATGAATTTATATCCGACGTGCCGCCATTCTTCCCTCTCCTCCACACAGGCCCGCGCTCGCCTCTCTCCCCCTCTGCCGCGCTGCCATTGGCGGTTGGTAAATG